CAGGACTGGCCTAGGGATATTTTTACTATTGGATTTTTAATCAACTTTTAAAAATAAGGAAAGGCCAATTTAAATATATTTTTTAATCTGTTTTAATTTTTTTATATTGTATCAATTGTTCTGTTTTAATTGGCTGTAAGCCGCCCTGAGTCCACCAGGAGAAGGGCGGGATATAAATGCAATAAACTTAAACTTAAACGTAAACCTCTTTTTGATTTCTCCAATTTTCAGGTTTGTCCTTTATTTTTTCCAAGAAAATGTGGTCATTGTATCTATAAACCACCTTAAAATTTCTAGGATCGGCTGTTTGATACAAGTAGTCCTTAACATACGACCACAATTGAGCCCAACATTTCTGTTGCTAAGGGAGACATTTGTTAAGTGAGTTTTGCCCCATTTTACAATCTTTCTTGCCACAGTTGTTAAGTGAGTCACTGCAGTCGTGAAGTTAGTAATCCCGGTGGTTAAATGAATCTGGCTTCCCCAGTGACTTTGCTTGTCAGAAGTTTTCAAAAGTTGATCACATGACCCCGGGACACTGCAACAGCCATAAATGTGAGTCAGTTCCCAAGTGTCTGAATTTTGATCACGTAACCATGGGGATGCTACAATGGTTGTAAATGTGAAAAACGATCATAAGTCACTTTTTTCAGTGCCTTTGTAACTTTGAACAGTCACTAAAAGAACTCTTGTAAGTCAAGGACTTCCTGAATTAGCTCTATTTCTCTCCCACCCAATGGTGGGATTCAAATATGTGAACAACCAGTTCTCTGTGTGGATGCCGCTTCCGGAAGTCCATTCTGGGCCTGGGCAACAAAAAATTAGCTACCGGTTCTGCCGAAGTGGTGCAAACTGGCTGAATCCCACCACTGCTCCCATCCCCCAATAGGGAACATCTAGGTTTCTTCATTTTAAGCACATTATCAGTGAAATATTTATCTTGTTGGACTTATAATCTTTTTGTAACCAATTAAGGGCAAAGTCAACCCAATAGTGGTAAATAAACAACCCTGGTTAATTGCCTCCCATACGCAGTTTATAGCTCCCAGGTTCAAATTTACTGTTTGCTTAAGCAATGTTAGTGAAGAGAGATTTTGTGTCCCATACTAGTTATCTCTGATAAAGGCATTAGTCACAAATTGATAATCTGAATCACAAAAACAAAGAAATATCTTTTGTTCTGGTAATGCTTCATTTACACATTACTTGATAGCCCAATTGTCAGAACAGGGTGACAGGGAAGTAGAGAAGGCATTCTGATTTTGTTTCAAAACTGCTGATAAACACGGTCAGATTCTGCTTGCATTGTTTTCATTCTGTTTAAGGGCTGCAGTCTTAGCCTTTTATTTTCCTGGCCTTTTACCTGGATAAGTAAGCTTCATTGAATTCACAGCTAAATAGGCATATATAGAATTGCAATCTATCTAACTACTCTCTAGGGGGGAAAAAACACCCTCCACAGACGGTTTTGTCTTGGCCAGAAAGAAAATGAGCAGAGATTGGAAGAAATTGCATATTTGACTGGGCAGGTTATTGCTTAATTATCTGCAAGAGGCCATTATACTTGCTTTCCTAAGAATAAACTGCACAGGATTTAATGTAACTCATTTCTCAGAAGCCATGCCAGGTCTAATGCCCTTGCATCTATGGCATAGTAAAGGAAAACAATATGTAACTAGCATCCTTAAAGTCTTTTAGGAAAAGGAGAAATGGCTTTCTTAATTTTGGCCCCATCGACCTTGGAATATAACCCTTGAAATCTTTACCAGAAATGATTAAAGGTGCCCCATCTTGGTATATGAAGAAGGCTGTAAGATTGAGAAATAATTATTTTTATTTTATTTATTTAATTTGTATGCTGCCCATCTCCCTTATAAGGTGAGTTATTTGAAAGTTTGTTTGGTTATACTTTCAAAGGTACCATGAGGGCTTGAAGAACAAACAAGTACTCAGATATGGTAGAGAAGAAGTGTGTGTGTGTGTGTGTGTGTGTGTGTGTGTGTGAGAGAGAGAGAGAGAGAGAGAGGGAAAATGGGGAGACATGTCATGTTTGAGTCTATGCCCCTCTGAGTGAATAGTGAATAATATTTGGCACATGTCCCTTTTCCCTATTCTGAAATGTTGGCTTATGTATTTAATAAAGCAACAGTAGAGGTGATTTGACTTCCTTCCTTCCTTCTTCATTTTTTTTATGATTAATGTTTATGTCCCAGGACAAATATCAAAATATTTTCTTGCCATGTGCTAAACATCAGCAACTTTTACAAAAATGACAGATTAGAATCCCTGGGTTTACTGAATCAAGCAAGCTTTTGCCTAATCAAAAAGGATTGCTAATGTGGCTCAACTTTGGGCCGTGTGACAAACACAGAAAGAGCAGCAGATTGCTCATTAAGCCATGAGGAAAAGAGGGCAGCACAAAGAACCACAGTGTAATCATGCTTTCTGTAGAAAGAAATCAAAGCTGTGAATCAAGGGAAAATGCCTTTTGCAACCTAAACAAATTATACCAATAATGTATGTTTTCTTATCTATGCTTTTCAGGCTGAGGGTATGTAAACACCAGTACCGGATAAATAACTCACTGTGTGTTGCATCTGACAGTTCAGGTCCCTGTTTGTGGAAAAGTTCCCCCAAGGTATTGCCTAAGCACATTTAACCTGATTTTTTTTTTCTTTCCAGCCTAGGGCAGATGTGATTTTAAAAGTGGGAGTTTGTGTGTCTGTGTGTGCTGCATGATGAATGTCATTATCAGCCTCTTGTTTTTCCTTTGTCCTTATATAGTGTTTGTGAGACTGTTCATTACACTGGGATATTTTTTTTCTGCCTTTGGCAAATGTGTGTGAGAGTTCACTAAGGGTATTTCAGGGTCTAAAGCAGTGTATTTTTCTCCCCCCCCCCCTCCAATTGCAGTACATTTGTGATGTTGGCAGCAGGATAAAGAGGGCCCATATCATGTTAACTCAATGAAATGTGATTAGGTGGGAAGGATGGGGAAGGGATCCAGGCAGGGTTCTCCATGGCCATTCCAGCCATAAGTATGTTTGCAATTATTCTTCTGCCTCATAGGCTTTGGGGGAAGGGCAGAAAAAGTAGAGAATGGGGAAATCACTGGCCAGAATCCTGGTTTAAGACCAAGTTTTTGTAAAAATGAAAATGCATTCTGTATTCTGTATACCAGATTTTTTTTTGTTTGTTTGTTTCGGAACCCCATAACTAGATATTCATGGAAAGTACAGGTAATCCTTCGTTTAAAACCAGAATTGGGACCAGAATTTCTAAGTTGTTGAGTCGCACCCATTTTTATGATCTTTTTCCCACAGTTGTTAAGCAAATCGCTCCATTTGTTAAGCAAATCACTTCACTGCAACCCTAATTGCCAAGTGTCCAAATTTTGATGACATGACCACTGGGATGCTGCAACAGTTGTAAGTGTGAGGACCAGTTGTAAGTCACTTTTTTCAGTGCCGTTATAACTTCAAAGGTATGGTTAAAATGGTTGTAAGTCAAGGACTACCTGTATAGCAGGGAAGACAGCCTTCTCCCATCACTGGAAGTGTTATAGTTCCCTTCTTTCTAAGCCAACATGGGACTGATGGCAATTGGGTTCCATGAATCTGGAGAACATCCAGAGGATATTGAAGAGGTTAACATCGTCCTTGTTGGATCGTCCTTGGACTCGGCTTATTATCCTAAAGGGGCCCTTTCTGCTCTTGTGTTTAGTTCACAAAAATACTGCCGTGAATTCTGGAGTATGCTATGAAACAGTTTCCCACAGTGATTTGCTTGGGTCAATCTGAGTTGCTGTGGAGTGATTGACCACTTGTGGCTAAATGCAGGGGGAAAGTGCAGGAGATGTTCATGCAAATGACTTAAAACATTTTATCACAAGATGAATTTCTTTACCTCAAGATTCCAGCTCCAAATAACAGATACTGTCTACTAATGTGTGCTGTCTCCCATGCTCCTTCACTGGCTACAAGAGATTCAGACCCCAATTCCTTTCTTTTCAAAGGCTGAGGGCTTCATTTTACCCCTCAGACTTCTTACTCCAGATTACATTTTGCAGAAGCAGCTGTTTCACCCAGCTCTGCCTTCATCTCTTCCCAGTCTCCTTGGTTGATCCGTGCTTTGTCCTGTCTATCCAATATGACCATCCCTCACTCTCAAGTGAGTAATAGTTCAGCTTTCAGGACAATTGTCCCTGGACTTTATTAGTTTCAGATTATTTCAGATGTTTACCTTTCCAGAACTGAACTAGCCTGCAGGAAGGGTAAGCCAGAAAATCTAAAAAGTGCAGCTGTCAGAGTCAAGGCCAGAAGCCAGAGCTGGGCAGAAGGAAGCAGGTAGTGAAGGCTAGAAAACATCTAGATTTCTCAGGGAGGGAGGGAGGAGAAACCTCTTTCCCTTCCCAGCCCATGTGGTATATGGTCCACATGATGACTCATTGCCTTAGCATGTGGTTCAAGATCACAGGCCCTTTGGGGCCTGGAGGGCATAATGGAGCACAAGAAACTTTTTATGCTCTTAGTTAGGATTGGAGGAGACTGAGTCAGTGGTGGAAAGGAAATGGCTAATCCAGCCAGGCTGCATCTGAAAGGTCCATGAATTTTTCCAGTAAGGGGGAGGACATAAGGAAAGTATAATCCATCTTTTTGGCATTTCTGCTGACTTCCAGCTTTCTTGCCATGTTGAAGCATGGACTTGGCCACAGAATAAAGCATGTAGTTGTTTTGATTTTGTTATTTAATTCATTTGATTTTTGTCCCAGGACCTTTTTGTCCCAGGACCATTCATTGGTCACTTGATACTGGTTTCTGTTTGGGGAATTGGTGGATGGGTGACCATGGATATGTATGTTTCCACTTTAGTGGCCTTCTCTCCATCAATCTCTCTCATACTCTGATATAATAGAATCCACTAAAATAAGGCTATAAGAGAGCTTTGTTGGATGTGACCAAAGAGCCATCTTATCAGACATTGCTTTTGTCTACAATGGCCAACCAAGGTGGTTTTGACAGGCCACAAGCACACCGCAACTATTGTCATGAGCAGCAATCACTGGTAATCTTATAATCTACTTGACTCATCTAAGTTGGTGGTCATTTCCATTTCTTATGATTGCAAATACCATTGTTTAACCATTGTTGTATAGCATTCTAACCCCAGACAGAATTTGGAATGTCAAAGAATATTTGAACTGGCTCATAGATACTGGAATGAAAATAGTCAATGAAATACTGAGGTTTTTCATGTTATTCTTTAGGATCATCAATAAATGGGTCACAGAGTGTCAAGAGTTCACTTTGGTCTCTGCTAGCATCTTGCCTCTCATGCACCTTTGGCAAACTCTTTTAAATCCCAGGGCCTCTTCTGGCCTGTGGACAAAGCACAGTGTGTTTTAGATGTACTCAACAGACATGGCTTTGTGTTCACTATACATGAAGATTAAAATGTCTCTTTGCCTATTTACTTTACAAACATGGCAAGAAAAACTAGAGACTTTTATGTTCTTTTGGAATTCTTCATTGGAACTGTGTACAGATATATATTGCTGAATAGAAGAGTTATTTTGGAAATGCCCTTTCTTCACTGATTGAAGTTGTTCTTCATGTGGGTCAAATCCAGAGAAAATCACTTCTCGTGGTTTGTTTTCCGGCCATAGAGGACCACCCCTATCATTAGGTAGCCAACAGGAGCTGAAGAGACGCAAGGTAATGTTGAATAGCTGGGCTTTATGTCCCATATGAAATAAGTATTGACCTTTCACACAGCCAGGGTTGAAGTTGGAGTCAATGGCCAATGTAGCTGGTCTGTGGAAATGAAAATGGCAGAAGGGGATGTCTTCTCCTTCCTCAAACTGGAAAAGCCTCGGGCTTGAATTGGCAGCATTCAGGGTGCTTATGGCTTCAGAGTTTGCACTGTGCATGGAAGTTATGAAAGAATGTTTGGGTAAACTGATATGCAGCACCCTTGCAATAGTGGCAGATATCTGTAGCTCGTGTGTAGGATGAGGGTGAAGGTTCATTCTCTGAGCTTGTGGGTTGGTTTCCGAATGTTTCGTTACCAGGCTAGGTAACATCTTCAACGGCATTTAGGGGATTCCCTAAATCAGGGGTCCCCAACCCCTGGTCTGTGGACCAGTACAGGGCCATGGCATGCCAGCAACCAGTCCACACAAACAAGCAAAGCCCCATCCATGAGATGCAGGCAGCACACAAACCACGCCCCCCTCCAGTCCACGGAAAAACCTCTCTCCATGGAACCGGTCCCTGGTGCCCAAAAGGTTGGGGACCTCTGTCCTAGATGCCGCTGAAGATGTTACCTAGTCTGGTAGTGAAACCTTCACAAACCAACCCACAAGCTTGGAGAGGGAACCTTCACCCTCATGCAGCACCCTGTACAGAAATAATAAAGTGAAAACTAGGCTGGAGAAGAAAAACAAAAACAAAAATCTGATTATTTAACCACCATTGAAATAACTGAAGCATTTATCTGTCAATGACACTGCAGAGTTGGGCATGCTGGGCTCATAGTAGTAGAAATGGAAGCAGTTTCACTATTGTGGAAAAATAAACTCTGTCCCTATAATCATGACTGCACAATCTCTCTGTCCCTACGTGCGCACACACACACACACACACACACACACACACATACATGCATCTCCTCAATCTCACAATCTCTAATGTCTTCCCTTCCTTGAAGGGAAGCTCAAAAGTTAAGTCATGAAACTTTTAGCAGAATTATTTGTGTTTGACCGAGGATTGCCTCTTTAAGTTGGACTGATTATTTTTTTCCTGTCTAACTGATAAGCCAACAGTTACTGAGCTATGTCAGAATCTGTTGACTGCTTATTCTTTTTCTCTGAAGAACAACACCAAGAGTTTCCTTTGGTTATCCTGGAGCATTTTCCACTTACAGGAGAGACTTAGGTTAGCCTTCCTGCAGCTGGTACTGTACCTTCCAGATGTGTTGTCAAAAAATCCTATTATTCCCAGGTAAAGAGCACTTGGGTGAGTTTGCTTTATGCTGTCAAGATCATTTGGCTAATGCTTGACTGAGCCTATGGGTTAGTTTGAGTTAATCTTAGTTCTTGGGGACTATATTGATGAATCTTTGTAACAGCACAGAAGTGAATGCAATTGTTTTTGTCCCAATTTTAGCCAATAGTGCTCAGATTTTTTTAGTGGCCTCCTACTCCAATATTAACTAGCTTCAACTCATCTTAGAAGGTCAGGTACATGCTGTCCGGTCTGCTGTCAACAGCAGCAACAAAGGTCTGATCATGAGAACAGAGAAGCCCAGTGGCCTTGAGTTGTGAAGCTGGGTCAGAGAAAGTCGGAACTGAAATGTCATTTTTAATGTGTTTCTTCCTCCCTTCTAACCATCTTGACCTTTCTCCCCCTTCTCACCTCTTTTTCTGAGGTTACCAGGCTTGTTGTAATTAATGCTTCCGAGACCTTTCCAAAGGTCTACAAAGAACTACACATTATACACTTAGATAGAAGGGTGTAATGAAGGAGGATGGTGACTGGATTCATCACAGCATCCGGGCACTTTCCAGGAAGTGGTTTAAGGGGGAAAAGTGCACTATCCTCTCTTTGGAAGGCATGCGAGATGCCAGTTCATTCTTAGCTTAGCTGCTCTGCTCCTGAGGCCAGTGGGAGACAGTGAAGCCTGCAGTTATCCTGGATGGGAATAAGCAGGGAGTGGCTCCAACAATTATTCCTTCACAGTAATAAGAGGATTATGATGCAGCCAGGCTAATTGTAGGGCAATTGTGAATATAATTGGAGTAATGTATGCAAATCCTTTTGGAAACTTGATGATCTAAATGAAATGTCAGTCTGCAGTCCTGATCAGCATTAATTAGGAGCCTACAAGAATGTTACACTCTTGTACTGCCAAATATATATACTAGGAATTTTTTTTTTAAGAAATAGGTGTTGATAGAGTGTCAATTACAACAAGACAGTGGCACTCAGCTGAGTTGTGAAATAGGCCAACTCCCTCTTGGTGAACTGTCTCCTCCACTAATTAAGTAGAAAGTTATGTCCTGGTTCCCTGTTTTGCATGTATAGTTGTATGTGCGAATGTGTGTACTTGTATAGAAGTCTCTATCATCTTAGATACTTTTATACAATATGAAATACTGCTAATTTCTGGTTAGGTGAAATACATTCTTGCAAATAGCTAGGTGCTATGGAACAGCCATAGTCTTTTGAAACCTGAAGTCTCTATCTCACTAAAGTTTGTTTGGTCCTTTAGCAGGCACAGCTAACAAATTTAAAAATTTAGCAGGGCAGAGGAGTAAACATTTATCTATTGAATTTTGTCACACACACACATCCTTCATTTCCTTCAAAAGCAATAAAGCACATACACAGCACTCTCCTCCATTGTCTCACCATAGTGACACCCTTGTAAGATAGATGTGCTTGAGCTGAAAAAATGAGTAACCCAAAGTCATTTAGTGAACTTCCATGGTTGAGGGGCAATTGAACCTGGTCTCTCTGCTCCTAGTTGAACACCTTATTAACTTCAGTTTATCATATAAAATCAAATACTAAGAATCCTTAGCATGTGGCTTTTGTGTGTGAGTCTGAATGCATATGTGGAAGTTGCAACATCTGTTACTGAGTTGGATAGGTATTGCTTCATTTGGACCATTTCTCTACAGTACTTTATCATCTATCAATGTGCAGTATTCATTTTCTAAAGGAGTTTGTCTTATAGAAACCTGAAGTCACCCAGATTAGGTTTCTTTGGACCAATAAAACAAATCATTAGGCTAGGATTCCAGTGCCCAGCCATAAATTTAAGAAATTTCCCTTTCTTGCTATATATTTCTTTGCTGGTCCTGCAGACGTTTTTCTTCTGCTAGCTGCATGACCTCTGGAGTGTGATGCTTTGGTGCTTCCTGAGCAGATGGAGGTCTGAGATTCTGTGTGACTCCCGACAAAGTTTGGAGTGGAGAAAGTTAGATACACATCCAGGCCATTTTTGTAGATCAGGCAAGGGGAACATCAAGACTCTGCCCATGGACTCTTTGGTTATGGTCATCAGAGCCCCTTCTGATCAACATATAACATTTTCACTGTAGTGTAAATCTAACATGAGCTTAGTATATGGTAGTTACGCACACACAGAGAGAATAAGTCAATAAAAATGTATGTATGGTCCAAGACTAAGGAGAGAAAGAGAGAGAATGAGAATCCCTGGGAAAAATAAACACAAAGAAATCTTGCTCGTATGGATGGTATGGCCTTGTCCCCTTGACATCAGCACTCCATCCCCTACAGCTTTTGATTCCACAAAAAATTGCAGCTCAATCCCTCAAAAATCATTTTGGCCTAATGGTTAAGGTAAAAACCAGGAGGCTGGGAGTTCTAACTCCGCCTTAGGCATGAAAGCCAGTTGGCTGATTTTTGGACCAGTAATTGTCTCTCAGCTCAACTCCCCTCACAGGATGACTGTTGTTGAGAAAATAGGAGGAGAAAGAGGTATTAGCTATGTTTGTTGCCTTGAGCTATTTATAAAAATAATATATCAAAAAAGGTCTTCTTCTTCTTGTGCCATATCCGTTATCGGACGTTGGCGATCATGTTGGCGATCCTGTTTTTATCAGCAGCTGCACGAAAAAGTGCTGCTGAGTTTTGTCCAAACCATCCCTTAGATTTTGAAGCCAAGATGTTCTTCTTCTGCCTGGTCTGATCATCATTAATTATTCTTCATTCTGTCCTTCATTCTGTTATATTATTTATGTGTTCCACTAGGTGGCAGTATTTGCTTTTCACTTAAATCCCATATTGCAAATTGGGCCTCTCAGGGAAATGGCTTCTGCTGGGCGTTTTTGTTAATAAAATTTTACGTGCCTTATGGCTATGCCCCGAAGAGAGCTGTGGAATGCAGCTAGCTTGCATTCCATGTGCAAAATATTTAGGATGGGGGGGCAAGGGCTGCGCAGCAACAAATAAGCTAGAAAAACAAAACAAAAAAACCAAGTGCTTTTCTCTAGGATCAGTACAAGCATCATAGGGCACCTCCTGCCTTGTTGGATGCTGAAATACGAACAAAATAGGCAAAGCAGCTTCAAATCTCTTTGTGCAGAAGCCTTGTACCATCTTATCCTGGAGTTTCAGTTATTGAATCCTTTTAAATACTTTCGTTACTCCTCAGCTGTGGGTTTGTTTACATATCCCTGGTAAAGAGCAGGGAGGATTAGAGGCCTGCAGACATAGAAAAGAAGCAGAGAATTAGGGAGGATTAAAATGGAGAATTCCACAAGAAAAAGAAGAAAAACGGTTGCCGGTAGTCAGACACTTTTTCATGAAAATTTTTTTCCACCCAACCTGGCTTTATTAAAAAGCCTCTGAAAGCTGAATGTCGGATATCCAGGTGGCAGTGCTGAAGTGAAACAGATGTGTGATCGCTACACATCTGCCTGGACATAACTTTTTCATCAGATTTTCATCAGATTTGCCCAGACCTTTCCTGGTCTACCAGGCTTCCCAGATAAGGGAAATATAGACTTGATGGGTTTAAGTTCCCCAGTAGAACCATTGAATACTTCTGAAGTATTTTCAAAGGTGGGGCTACATGCAGGTAAGAAAAATCTCGGATAGCCCTAATCATAAGTTTCAAAGAGCATAATATAGTTAAGAAAAAGACAACATCAGATGGATGCCAGAACTCATTTGCCTGTCATAGG